GGCGGCGGAGTTGTGCCAGTCGGTGGAAGTGACACGCCACGCGAGTTAAACGCGCATGATTTGTGCGAGATTAAACGGCGCTGACTGGACCTTGCTTAAAATACAAAGTCATGCATAAAGCTGGCAACTAGCATGAAATATTTTATAATTGAATGATATCGTGAATAATTAAATAAATTTTAATTTTTTATTATTTATAATTAGATATTTTTATTTTATATTAAATAATTTTTTAAAAATTTATTATTATTTATCATATTGATATTTAAATTATGTTACATAACTATCAACATATAACGTTAACAACACCATACATAACATGTAATGATAATTTATTAATAATTAATTAAAAAATTTTATTTAATTTAAAATAAAATATAATAATTAAATGTAAAAAATAAAAAAATAAATTTTTTAAATAATTTTTGTACTCTAAAATTAAATTAAAATATCATTATAAATACTCCAAAAATCAATCAAAATTATGTAACCAACGCAGATGACGATGGAATTGTTTTTTCATCTGAAAAGTGGAGCGCGACACGCGCCACCGAAAAAAGCGAGTGAGCTTCCAGAAGAAGAGGAGGAAACTTCTCTCAGTCACTCCCCCAGTTTTCTAGTTTGCCCAAAATAAGTGGACTAAATAGAAATTAACGTAGAAAAAACATAAAACAATAATTGTTTTCTGGAGAAGTTTCGTCAGTGATGTCAGGGAATTTACCTGACCTAGGACGACGATCACGTTTTTTGTCTTAAATAAGGACACAGAGTTTGTTCCCCAGGAAAGACCAAATCCTTACATAATCAAACAAAAATTAGTGCAAAATTACTGTAAATCTAATTTAACAAGTTTTTTATTTTAATTTTATTACATTAAACCGCAGTGTAGAAGACAAAAGAGCTCACTCCGTTCTTCAATGGCAGATGGCACACGTCGCTGACCATTCGGTTTTGGGAAAGTTCAAGGAACAATACTCTAGCGTTAACAAAAGTACACCTCCCAAAGCAAGTACCAAACCAAAAGTACGTAAAACGACGAGGGTACTAAAGTTTTGTCATCGGCCTTATCTCCCTGTCGGGCATGACTTGTTCTTTAAGCAAGGAAAACATAACACACCATTAATTTCATGTCTCATTAAATAGTCATTATTTTGTTTTCCTTTCTACTTACGCCAACTCACTGGATCAAGCTCTAACACACAGAATTAAAGTTAGATTAGATTCCCAAGGATTATTAGACAAAAGCACCATCAGAGACCAGAAAACAGGGCAAATGCCCTGTATCTGCATGGATCCTTTAGGTGTCTTCGTATTCAAATAAACAAACGAAAAAAAGGCGACGCAAGCTGTCAGCTTGGAGAACATATCACAACTCCATTGTTCTTCTTCGGTTTAAATTAAAAGATTCTCGTTAAAAGCATGCAAATGCTGTCTCAGCCCATTGTATACGGTAAAAGCCTTTTCACCAACTCTTTCCTTTTCACTTCCCGATTAATCTCATTGAACTTTCCCGGTTGGTTGTGACCCAATTTTCCAGATCATCAAAGCATGACATTTTCTCGGAAAGGGTAAATATTAGTAATAAATTGTAGTCAAAAGTGTATGGTGAGAAAACTCGTTCCACAATTTGTTGAAAAAGCTTTGGTTTCCCTTGTCGGGGAAGCTCTGGGTCATTCTGTTCTGCTTTTCACAGTGAGAACAGAACAGTAGCTCATTGTTGACTTTAACTTAGAGCAAGTGGTATTTTTAATGCATGCGATAAGGTTAGTTGGTTCAATTATTAAATTTCTTCAACTATTAAAATAATTTAACTAATTTTTTTTATATTTAATTTCAAAATTTTATTTTTATTTTAAATTAAATTAATAATTATTAACTAAAATATTATTTATCTATATATATCATGTAATATGTTAATATGATCACATAATAATTTTATTTTTGTGTTTTATGACAAGTGATATAAAAAATTATAAGTCACATTTTGACTAAAAATTGTTAGTCAACTGTAAGTTATAAAAAATTTTATTTGATTTAAAATAAAATATAAAATTTTTTTCAAATGTAATAAAATAATAATACTTAATTTAAATTTTTTTAAAATAATTTAAATATTTTTTAAAATATTTTAACTTATCAAGTTAATTGAAACGACAATTCCTTTCTCATATTTTCATAAAAGTTGTTAAAAATTATTGTAATTATCTTTAGAAAAAAATCATTGAAAAAGTTACTCATGGATTAAAAGAAGTAAGAATTCATCTATTTATGGATCTTATTTAATTGAGTAATATATTAAGAAATAAAAGATTATGTCAAGAAATTACGAAAAAAAATGATGAAATAATTATATTACACATAATTTATTTATTTATTTTCGATTAAAAAAAGAAAAAAATTAAAAAAGTTATCCATCAAATTATTAGAAACTTTTCTTATTTAGCAAAGGAAATAAAGAACCACTATGACACGTCGGCTCTTAGGAACTAGATTCCACGAGGCCCATGGACCGAGAGACTCGGACTTAGCGGAATGAAAAGGAGGGAAAAAATCTGAAGCCCAAATCTCAAGTCTCAACAGTGTTGGTTAAGGCCCATCAAGCTTAACCGGATCCGATCCGGTTACACCGATTTTTTTTTTAATTTTATTTTTAATAAAAAACAAAACCCGGAAGCAATAAACCAAGAAAGTGATCGCAGCAAGAAAAACTTAGAAACCCGAATAACCGCTTTGTTTATTATTATTAATATTTATTTCATATAAATTTATAATCTTTGCAATTTCGGTTAGTTTCTAAGTCGACCTCTCTAAGGTATTTTCATTTCCTAACTTCAGCAAAAATTAGGGTTCTTATTTTTTTTTTGGTGTTTTTTAGCAAATTGTTTGGTGGATTGTGGAGATGGAAAAGTTGAAATCTTTTTTAATTTGAAATTTTTGGTGTTTTTCCCTTTTTTTAATTAGAATCTGATTTTTCTTTTGGGTAGTGAAATTTGAGAAGGTTTGGGAATCAAATGGGAGTGAAGGTGGAGCACTGATGCCACCGTTCTGGATTGTAATTCGTCAACTAGTTGAAATCGAAGAACAAATGGTATCTTTCTTTCCCTTTTTTTTTTTGAAATTTTGATTTGATAATTGGGGATAAGTTCATCACTGATTTTTAATTTTTGTAAGAATTTGAAGTTGTTTAACTTTTAGCACCGAAGTCAATTAGTAAATGTTGGCTACGCCAAAATGTAAAGTTTTTTCTTATTGGATTATACTTCTGGGTGTTCTTAAAACGATGAAATCTTAAATCTTGGTGAAGTTTCTCCTTTTGAGTGACGGCATTTGATTTGTATTGAAGTATGCATGAGACTTGAGAGACATAATAGATTGCTTTTTAAAATGGAATGTTTGTGGCATTGGATGAGTAATTTATGGGATGGAGTGTATTTATGTTTCGAAATTGTTCTGTTGACAGGCTACATCTAAGAAAGTGATTACACGGGAAGAGTGGGAAAAGCGATTGAATGATGTCAAAATCAGGAAAGAAGACATGAATAAATTGGTGATGAATTTTCTTGTCACTGAGGGTTATGTTGAAGCCGCTGAGAAATTCCGGATGGAATCTGGAACTGAGCGTATCCTCTAAAAAACCTTTAATAAATGCTTACCATTGTTCTTGTGTCCGTTCTTGGTGTATATGTTTTATTTTTCTTATTGTGGAATAGCAGATATTGATCTTGCAACAATCACGGATCGCATGGCTGTTAAAAAGGCTGTACAATGTGGAAATGTTGAGGATGCAATTGAGAAAGTTAACGATTTAAATCCTGAGGTAGGATGTTCGATTACACTGTGACGAGCTCCATAACTACGAAAATTCTGTTGATTTCTTATAATGTTAATTTAAGAATTTTGTTTTTCAATTGAACACGGGATCTCTTTCATGGTACTGATTTGTTGTTACCATACATCTTTGCTTCCACTAATTTGTTTCAAATTTTACAAAAATCTAAATTTGTCTTATGAATGTAATGGAAGAACATAATAACAAGTAAAATGAAACATGTCACTGTTGTAATGTCTTTGTTCCAACTTCATGCTAATACGAATGAGTTAGAGAATATTATATTTTGTGGTATCTAGTTTTAGCTAGAGGTAGATCAACTATTAGGATCTTCTTGTACTTCTACTGAGAGTTGTTTTTCTTAATTGTTTATCACCAACAGTAGCGGTAAGAGAAGTTGGCTGTTAAAAGGGGCAGACTTATGTTTAACTATTTCCATTTGAAATGATAAATCTCATATCTAGTGGGTGGATAAGCAATTTTTGGAATGTCAATAAGGGTAGAGGAATTCTTTTAGATATTGAATTTTTCTGATACATGCTGTAAAGGAGAAATAATGCCAGACTAGTTTTTTTCGAAACTATCTTCACCTTTCCTTAATCATCTTTTTGCAGATATTGGATACAAATCCCCAACTCTTTTTCCATCTCCAACAGCAGAGATTGATAGAATTGATTCGGAATGGAAAAGTAGAAGAAGCCCTGGAGTTTGCACAGGAGGAGCTTGCACCTAGGGGAGAAGAAAATGTAACTCTTCTTCATTGGAACATGAGAACCTTTTAATGCATGCTTATTTTGCTTCTTAAAATTTTATGCTTGTAGCAGCATTAATTAGTTGTTGCTAATACTACGATCTAAGATTACAAAATCTTTCTGCAGCAAAGCTTTTTAGAAGAGTTGGAAAGGACTGTAGCACTGCTGGCTTTTGAAGATGTTTCCAACTGCCCAGTTGGAGAGCTTATGGACATATCACAGCGCCTTAAGACAGCAAGTGAGGTGAATGCAGCCATTCTTACTAGCCAGAGCCATGAAAAAGGTTTGTCTGCTGTTTGGTATTCTT